ACTTTGGATTAAGTCGATAGAACATTTGAATTGAGTCGGTGAAATAAGGCGGTGGAGAATAGAATTAAAGAAAATTCGAGAAAGAGTATAAGTCGGTAAGATAAGTGTATATAAATAAGAGGAAATTTGAAACTTACACCAACACATAATTCCTGTAACTTGAAGAACCAACAGAGAGGCACTAGAATTCTGAGAAAAAGAATTCGAGAGAAAGGAGGAAAGGGGAGCATAAGAAATTAAGAGAGTAATAAGATTTTTAAGGAACCATGTATGGGTTAGACGTTTAATTTTATTCATACGAATGTTTGAAATTTTGAAATTGGTGATTACTATTCATCATTTGCAAAATTTGAAATGTTGATGAAATTCTTGATATTAAGGATGAATTATATAGTAAAATTGTTGTTTTTTACATAAATTGAACATATTTAGGGTTTAATTTGGATTTGGAACTAGTTTGGTTGCCTGAAACTTGAAACTTGAAAATCTGGAGATTTGTCATGGCTTCGTGGGCGAGAGATTGAAGAAAGGGATAAGGATGAAAATTTTGAAAAAGATCAAGGGTAAAATAGTCATTTCACATCTTAGGGACATAAATGGAATTTTGAAAAAGATTAAGGGTATAATGGTCATTTCATCATGGCCTCAGGACATGAATGGAATTATAGAAAATGTCCAAGGGTAAAATAGTCATTTTAGGGATATGGATGATATTATAAAAATGTCCAAGGGCAAAATGGTCATTTTAAGGACATGGATGGAATTATAGAAATGTCTAAGGGTAAAATAGTCATTTTAGGGATATGGATGAAATTATAGAAAATGTCCAAGGGTAAAATAGTCATCTTAGGGACATGAATGGAATTATAAGAAATGTCTAAGGGCAAAATGGTCATTTTACAACCTAGGGACATAAATGGAATTTTGAAAAAAAATTAAGGGTATAATCGAGATAAAGCCAAATAATATATTACCACCTCTTTGTTTACTAGGAAAACGACTTAGTAAACATTCAAATTTGAGGATAGTGTCTTCATCAAAGTTATAGGTTATTGTTTTGTCTTTCCAACACAATTAGAATCATCTTAAAAGGAGGTCTAGAACTCGAGATATGAACAAAACACTGAACCCTACGAAATAGATTATTAATAGAAATTGTCTTGTTTAAAACAACTATGAATTGTAATTGAAATTTTGAATATATGAATGAGATGTTTCTAAGTACTTAATTGATGATAGGTTATTTTTGTTTGATACAAGACATAAACATAGTGCATGAAATGTTTTCTGGAAGTCACAGAAAAGTTTTTACAGAAAAGTATTTGAAAATTTTCTATTAAGTTGCTACCAAGGACGGTTGGTAGTAATAATGATGTACACAACAGAATTTTAGAAATATTTCTTTGAGTCATTTTCTTGAAAATTTACTATCAAGAGCATCTGGTAGCGGAATATGACTACGAAAATGGTCATCCAAATGAGATAGAGAATATATGAGAATGAATGATTGAGAATCGAGCTACCAATATCTCTGATAGTAAATGGGGGAGTAGAATAGGTAAGACAGGACCTCTGGTCTATGGGGTTGGACCTCTGGTCTAGGGAGTGTTTTGGCATGGGCAATCCCATAAGTGACCAATCTTTATTTGATTCTGTGTCGTGGTAGCCTGTCGGGTGCACTGACACTCTGACTACTGTCTACTTGTTTGCGTTTAGTGGGGCATTGTCAAATCATCGGACAGGGTGATGTTAAGCTCTGGTTCCACTAGACATTCAAATGAGTCTCCATGGAGCACTGAGTCAAAAACAATGATTTTAGACTTTGAATCAGAGTTAAAAGCATGGTTTTAAAGTTTTACATTTTGAGTCACATGTGCATATCATATACATATTGCATGATGTAATGATTTTATTGTATGAATGTTTGCTTTATTTGTTATGGATAAAAATTAAATGTCTAACCCCATAAATATTTCAATCTCATATTTTGATGATGAGTGATGCAAGAATGTATAATTCCAGAGATAGATGTCAGATGCAAAAGAAAATCTAGAGCTTAGATTGGGGATTTTACAATATATAAGTATAACTATATGACTTGTAATAATCTTGGAAAACTTTGTACTAGACTTATTGTTTGATTTAATAAAGAACTTTACCTAAATTACCTGTTCCCTTGGTATATTTTCTCTTACCCTTCTATGATACTATAGCAATATTACTAAATTAGATAATAACTAGGATTAGTAAATGAAATCTGGAAGGGGGGTTACACATATTATTGAGAGGAAAGATAAAGTTAAACAAATAGAGGTTAATCGAATATCTGGAATCAAAGACTTGAGAATGTCAAGTCAAGGGTTGTGAAATTGAGAGAAACAAGACATCGAGAAACGCTTATGCAAATGGGAAAGGATAAGGGATCGAGAAGGAGTTATACAATCGAGAGATATGCAAAAATGGTTATGGTTCCATTGAGTGACATGTGCGCTTACAAGTATTATATGACAATAAAATGACTCGAGAAAATAGAGGAATAATTATAGGAAAATAACCGTTTGTTTGATTTTATTTATTTCTTGTTTTTATTTTATTTTATTTTCATTAAGTATCTTAACGGTTACATAAAGAAAATATAAATAGAATAAAATAAATGTAAAAGAGGTGATGATCAAATTGTATAAAGACTAACATTCTGAACATGAGACAAACATTTTCAATGGAGTTTTTTGCAATTTGAATTGTCATATTTGTGAATTTTCTTTACAAATTTCTATTTTATTTGTGGTAATGAGTTAGATTTATCTTTTTGTAATTTACTTTTCTTGCATATTTATTTTCTAATAATTTACTTGTATTTTTATTGTTCTCGCTATTTATTTAAATATTGCAACTCATATTAAAAAATCTAAATTATATATAAAAAATCATTAATAAAAATTCGTCTTATTTTAATTATTAAGTGATTAATAATAACTTTATCATAAATTTCTAAAATTAAAAAATATTTGCGCTTGTTAGTCAAAATTAAAAGAATTCAAATAATATTTAAATAGTTCATTATGTAAGAAGATATTAATCAAACAACTATCTATTTTAAATTATAAACAAATATATAAACCAATTCTTGACAAACAATAAATAATTAAGACAATGTGATATAATAAATAACTAAGAATATATATCAAATATACGTGAAAATAATATAATACCTTGTAGTGATTAAACAGGAAGATCAATTTATTTGATTTCATCATTTCAATTTCTTCAATAAAATTCTATAAAAATCAAGTCCAACTTTCTTTGGTTACACAATCTTCAGTAGTGATCATTGACATCTTACCTACACATCATTAATCTTTGTCTTCTATATTTAGTTGTTAAATGACAAATGTGAAGGTAAAATAAGGTATTTGTGGTTATGTTTTATTAAAGATACATATGAACGTGTAGGTTAGTGTGAAAAAAAAAGAAGTTATGTGTAGTTTAGTGTAAAAGAAAAAAAAAGATTGAACCAAACAAAATCAATATTACAGTTTGGTTTGGATAAATTTTTATAATTTTTAATTTCTAATTTAAAAATTTTCAGGATTAATTTTTTTTATCTTTTCAATTAAAATATAATAATAAAAGTATATTGTTTTAAAGTTGTTAAATATATTGAATAGGGACTAATATATTAAAATTCAAAAATATTATGAATAAATCTCCTTATAACATAAAGAATGAAATAAATTAATAAGGATAAGAGAAACAAATAAATATTAGTTTATAGATTCAATGATTTATTAATGTGTACGAATAATAATTACACGTGTATGAGTAATGTAATTATATAAATTGTTGTCATGTTACTAAAAGTTTTTTAATTTAAATATAATCTATGGTATATATTTATAATTGTTTTTATATAATTTATGATTTTTAGTTTTAATTTAATAATTATTTAATATATTTATTTATATATTTATAATTTTATTTATTCATTATTTATTAATAATATATCATTTGATTTGAAAATTATTAGTTAAATTTTATGGTACAAAGTTACAATAAAAATGAAAACTTATCTTTACGCTCGACCAAAGAGTAAACTAAGGTTGACTAGGAAAGTAAGTGAGAAATAGGGTTTGACATGCAACAAAGAAGATGGAAAAACAGTTAGGAATACTAGAAGGGTTGAATTGGGAAATACAAAATAAAAATTTGAAATACACCAAATCTTTTAATTGAGAGGGAGTGAAATTAGTGAGTGAGAGAGATAATAATTTTTAAAAATGACGAGAATACTTTTCAGTTTTGAATAAATAATGTCTTATTAAAAAATGATTATTCAAAATTAATACAAAATATGACAAATTTAAAACTTTTATATTATAATGATCTTTTTTAAAATTTGTTATTTTTTAATATTACATGATGTTTTAAAAATTAAAAACTAATGAAAATATATTTGTATCAATATATATATATATATATATACATATATATATATATATATATATATATATATATGGTGTAATTAAACATTAACTTCATATCATTTTTTCATATTATTTAATTAATAATATTTAGTTAGGTTGCATGTAATTCTTAGCCAAACAAACAAATGAAATAACTTCAATATTTTAAAGTAAATAAAAGTTACCACATACAAGTTACACTTCAAAAATTTTAAACTAAAACAATTAATTAAACTTATTACAACCATGTTCATGGAATTGTTTTAATTTTTAACAGAAGTAGACATATAAATAAGTTTAATTTTGATAAATTATTAATATCAGTTTTTTTATTTTATATATATTTATTTAATAAAATTATGAAATAAAAAAACTAAATCATTAAACAAAAATACAATTTTCTTAAAGCTAATAATAATCAAAAGTTATTTTCTCAAAATATATAGAAAACACGAAAGAAACAGAGTTAACATAAATTTTTATAGAACGGCGCATGTTAGCTACCATGCATAAGAACGACACAGTGGTTTGAATCAGATGCGCACTTTAGCAGGAGCAGCGGGTTCACCGTGAATGATGAGGGGAACCACCGAAATGATTAGCTGATCCATCCAATTTTCGTACCATTCTCGGATGCAAAGCGTACGTTAGTACTCGACCGGTTCTGTCTCAATGCTCCAACCCCACAATAAAACTATGCACCCACGATCTAATTCCATTTTGGGGTCGCAAAATCTTGCCAAAGGTGCAACCTTTTTCTGGTTTTGATTCCGAAAGAGAGCGTGGGCAATGGTGGGATGAGGATAAAAGGGAAAGAGAAGAAAAAGGGAGGGAAATGGCGAGAGGGGAGTGGAGGCTTCAACTTCGCCACAGAGGGAACTCGATTTGTTCATACAAGAAAGTTACTCTTCTAGTTTGCTTTTTCAACATTGTTGTTGCTCTCTACACTCTTCGCTCTCTCTATGGTTCTCTTTATATCTACTCTGGTAGCGTTGCACGAAACAGTAAGTCATGTCAATCTTTTCAGGATGTTTTTCTTTCTGTTTTTCCTAATAACACAAACAAACAAAAAGGGTGACAAAAAGTTTATCCTTTATGAAAAATTTTGTACCACACTAAAAGGGTTTTTTGTTTGAGACAGAAAAAAGTTGAATTTCTTTATAGAACACCTTTTGGTTTTGATTTGGTTTGTTTTTTCAGTTGTAGAGCATAGACCAGACCAGATTCGAAAGATGGAAGAATCTAACCGAATCAGGAAGGATTACAAACCGGTTGAGTTAATAAAATTGGTATGAAGTATGAACCGTTTTTTATACATGGCATGGGCAAGCACTTTTTGTGAAATTAAACTCAAGTTGATGTTGTGAAACTTGTGCAAATAGGTGAAGGAATTAGAAGGGGAGTTTTCGAGAGAAGATGTGGTGGTTGAGTTGCCTCGGCACTTGAAACAGAAGATAATTGATGAGGTCATGCAGAGACTAGGTAGCTTGAATGTAAGCAGCAAAAATATCTCCTACCCCCAAGCCATGGCTAAGGAGCGAGGTTAGTGTGTGCTTTTAAGAATCTCTTGTCATTCCTTCCACAATTTAACGTGAGAATCTTTTTGTATCAATAATATTATTACCTTGTAACTTGGATTAGCAAAAGGGGTGGTTGGAGAATAGAAGTTATCATCCTTACCTGGTCAATTTCATTTCTAGGAGGTGGGAAAGTGCATGCCTTTTCTGTTTCTCGTTGATCAATTTCTATCTGTCTTATTGGAAAATTAATACTCTCTATACTCGAATACAAGCGAAAAAGATGTCAATGTTTTTTTAACTAAGGATCCTTATGTAAAGCATCTGTATGAAACATGGAATTCCAACTGGGAAAAAGATGTCAATGTTTGATATAAGCAAATTTGACTATTTTCACTTTATTTAATGATATAATTCTTAAAACAAGAATTTTCATTTAAGGGTAATTCAATTTTCATTGGTTTCTTTTTATTCAAGATATCAAGTTTCAATGAGGGATATTTTAAAAACGAAGTTATTTTTTAATTGAGGTTAGTGAAATCAAATGATGTTAATCGACTTTCTTAATTTGTGTGAAATTAGTTATTTTTATTTATATTTGAGTGGGAGTACTTATTTCACGATGCAAAATTATATTGCTGTCGTGAAGTATGTGTGAAATATATCCATTGTGTAGTGAACTGAATGGAATCTATTTTGTTTGAATTGTTGTTAGAAGTAGTGCTGTTGCTATATGATAAAGAGGACAAGATCTCAGTAATAGGATCATTAACACTAGATTTGTTGTTTTACTGTCCTTAAAACGTAATGTGTTTTTTTATTGCCATTTCATGTATACTTGCTCCATAGTTAAAAGTTCAAGAGTAAACTTGAATTTGCTTAAATATGATGCATTCATAGATGTTTCCTTATATTTCAATGTTTGTTTCTTGCTGGTTAGTTATATATATAGTATGTATTTTTTTGTTCAATGAGGAAACTAGAGTCTTGGTGTTTCAAATATAAGTTGGACTATACAAATTTCCTTCTGCAAATTGTAGTTCAAGTCACAATTATAAGACTTACTTGCCAATCTTTTTTCTAATTTAATGTTTATGAGGAAATTGCTTTGCATCCTTTTCTCTTCCTACATTTTTCAATCTTAAACATAGAAAGAGACCATTTGGATTCTATTAATTTTGGTCCTAATCCAAATATTGATTGGGTGGGATGGGGGAGAATTTAATTCTTCTACACTTCTGGGTATTTATTGGGTTGGATGAAAAAAATAATTATTAACCTTATGTTAAAATTGGATGACATGTTCTGACCTGAAAAAGGCAATAACTTTCAAAGTTTTTGAAGTTCATAATAATATCATAATGCATGAAGTTGGAAATCACTAATCTACTCCCTTTTAAGACCTGTTTACATAATCTGGAGGTAAAAATTTAAATTTGATAAGAAAATGGATTTATTCATTTGGATAGTATACAATATCAAACATAAAAGTAGCTCAAGGGGTGAGGATTGTCCAAGCCGGATAAGGAGTACTTTATCGTATTCTTAATTGGTTTGGAACATCTTTAACACTCATGAGTGCCCAAGAATTCTTCATTATGCATTTGATTTATGAAAGGACAAAATTATTCAGTATTTTCATGTTATATTTGTAGCAATGGTGATGATTGATAAACTAAATTATTCAAAATTTGATGTGGTGTTGTGTGTACTTTAACAATGATTTTTTTGGGACCAAGTTAGATCACACTATTCAACTAAATTTAATATTTCCATGAAATATCCGATGAAGTAAAAGTTAAAGCTCACCATGCATAGTTAAAGGCTGAGAGGTCAACAGATGTATTAGCCAAGTAGTTAAAATGTGAAGGAGGTGTATGATATTATTTTAGGCTGCTAGTCTGTTAGGAGTCCCAAGGTGAGTAAGATGATCTACTTCATTTAGTACTTGAGCCTTGAGACTCTTTCACCTAATTGACTAGTCTTTGGAGTTAGGTTCTCCTTTTTTGTTTTAAGTCCTAACAACTAGTGCTTTCATTGAGAGTGGGCCATCAAAGGGAGTGACAATGTTAGGATTCCAAATTGAGTAGAATTAGCTGCTTGATCTGGTAATTAAGCCTTGAGGCTCTCCCACCTAATGGACTAGGTTTTTGGTTGGGTTCTCCTCTTGTTCTTAGCCCTAATGTAGCTTTAGGATGTTTAGCCAAAGCTTCTATTTGGAAGTGTTGGTTTACTTGGATCTATCATTTCTTTTGGGGTTGGAATGTAGGCCAACAGAAAAGATTAACAAGAAACAACTATTTTATTGCTTATTGTAGGAGGCCTGTATAATTGTTTTTTTTCCTCATACTATTTGTTTAACATTGGTTTGTACGGATCCATTTCAAAATGATTGTGTTCATGGTATTGAAGGTGAAAAACCCCTTTTGGCTTCCTACTGTATCCCCCACAGTCAACATCCTTGGGTGTTAGGCCCAAAAATAAGAAAAGCAAGAGAAGGAAATCTTTCATTCTGTTGTATTTGAGATATTTTATGTAATTTTTTCCCAATGTGTATATGTTTGTATTTTAATATTTTATTGCACAACCAACCAATAATTTCTTTTACATCCTATGGTAAATTCTGTCTTAGAATGGGGTTCATCTTTTGTATATGAAGGTCATTTTATATCAAATTGCTATGTAAATTATAATTTTGTACAATGTGGAAGATATTTTATTACTGATATATTTTTAACATTGACTTATACAGAAGAAGTTGAAAATTGGCGCGAGCAAAAATTGGAAGAAGTCAAGTTGGTTGTTGACAGAGGGACTTCCAACTCAACCATTCCACATGAAGAGGCAGGTATGAACAAAAGATATATGTTCTGTCTTCAACATTGGAATTGGTTGATGACACATTTAGATGAAGTTTGTCTCTTTGCTCATTAACAATGGATGCTTTCCATATCTTTGTATCTAATATTTTCTTTTTTAAACTTCATAGGAATGCTAGTAAGAGCTTTGGAGTCTGATTGGGCCGTGGTTTCTGAAGAAATTGGCCTTTGGATACCTGCTGAGGTTGTCAATGATGAACACAATGACAAACCCGAGGGAGAGTCCGAGATTGGTAATAGTTTCTTTGGTCAAAACATTTCCCCCATCTTTTGTCATCTGTTGTAATCCTTACACAGTTATAGGTCATCACTAAAGTGGTTTAACTAGATTCTGCTTACAATTATCATACATGTACTGTGTTAGAATCTAGAAGTATGTACATATTTTTCCATGCAGAAAGTTAACATTTGTATGTACTAAGTCTACATTCTCTTCAGAGGAGGAAGTTCTTCCTGGCAAGCCCCTTCCACCTCAATGCAATACTGAACTTCATACAGATTATGGTGGCTTAGCCGTGAGATGGGGTCTTACTCATCATAAAGATAGTGCAGCTGATTGCTGTCAAGCTTGCTTGGACCAGGCTAAACGTGCCAAAGAAGGTGAAAAGAAATGCAATATTTGGGTTTATTGCCCATCAGAATTTGGGTGTCATTCACCAGATATCTATCAGCACAAATATCAGGAATGCTGGCTGAAATATGTAAGTTGCAACCTATGAATGTGACTCACTACTTTGCTCCCTTATACAAAATGCTTAACAGCCTTTGATACTTTATTTTCAGTGAGAACTTACAAAGTGCTATTGAATTTCAAATAGAAGTTTTACTTTTATCCACCTTCAGAGTAAACTTTTATATTGTTAAACCATGATAAATTTAGCTCTTAAAATAGTTTATGTATAAATAAAAATCTCTGACCCTACCTTGCAATTTATGATTAAATGATAGTATGAAAATGCTTTATGCTACCGTTACATGGATTATTTACTCTTCAAATAAATATAATTTAAATAAACTGCTCATACTGTCATAGTTTTCATACTGACATTCAATTGCCACATATGATAAGTTCGTTAACTTCTACAATTATTGTCTTAAAGGTCATTCCAAGGGTGATATTTGATTGATTTATAATAGAAATGTGTAACAATGATATGAGAATGAAAATTAAATATTCTAAAAATCTCCTTCTAGTTATGTTTTTATTCCTTTTCCCCTGCTGGTGAATATAATTGGTATTTTGAACACAGGATGAGAAACCCAAACTAAATTTTAAGGACAAATATCCTGAATGGTATCGAAATTCGCGCCCATCTGCACCATTGGTTGTCCCTTGGGCCTCTGGAGTTGTTAGTCCAGGAGATAAACTGCCAAATCCAGAAAAGGTTACATGATAAAATAAAGTCCACACCTTACCTTGTAGATTGCAGACACGCAAAGGTAGCCTTGACATGCTTTCCGGATTATACTGTTTGTTCTTAATGTATATGGCTTTATCATCAATGGTTGAAATGGAGATAAAAGAGTTCCCCCTAATGGTCATTTACTCGTATAAGACTTGGTTTCCATCTTTCCATCTCAGTGCCAAGGATTTTTCCCTCACGACCGATCTGAGACAGAGGTGGGGTGAATTAGATTTGTTTGTTTTAAATTCTTTTGATGATGTAATGGGATTTGTAACCTCAAAAGGCTGTGTTGGAAGATAAGTTGTAGATTCTCGGTCAAATAGTTGGTTCCTTTGAAAGTGCTATGAGAAGTGTTGTTTTCCTGATAGTTTTCACCAAAAAAAGTGAAACTAACATGCACTAACTGATGAGGAAATTGTTTTGTTGAGGTAGCTGAAATCATAACTCATTTTTATCTGGGGTTTATAATGTCTCTGCTCTGCCTTCCTTTTGGTGTATTATAATCATACATTACATGTACCTACGTATTCATACTTGTGTCTCTCTCTATTATATAATTTTATTCAATTTTTATTATGATTTACATTACTATTAGTGTATTTTCTGATTTTAAAAAGTAAAATAATACTATAAAAAGAATATATAACCAAATTTGGTATTGATGGCAATATTTTGCCAAGAAGGTTTACTGATAAATTTATCCAAACAAAAAGTCATTCTGGTCCATAGATGGCAACAAGGCGAACATGTTTGTAAGTGATTGGTGAATGCAGAGACTCTTATTTATTTATTTATTTATTATTTAGTTTTAGAAAAATATTATTTATGTGTGACTATTTAAAGTTTAATTAGTTATCTTTAATTAACTCAAACTATTTATACATTTATTAAAAGTGTCAAAGAAATCATATTATGAAATTTATTTCACACTCATTTAATTACAAATAACTACTGTTATTATTAAAATAAAAGACTCTACATTAATGATATAAAATAACTTTACAAATCATTAATATATAATAAGTTTATTAAAATTTACAATTTATATCAATGATATTTTATTATATAATGATATAGCATTTTTTTTTAATATTTATGATCACTAAATTTTATAATAATAATAATAACAATTATTATATATCTTTTTAATTATTAACATTTTTTTCATGTTTGTATGTATATTTTTTTATAATAATAAAAAATCACAATTAAAAATAATTACTATAACAATTATTTTAATAAAAGTAATTACCAAAATGTTAAAATAAAATTATAAGAAGATTAGGTTTGCTAAAAAGTATAGAGAAGGATGTAATTAAAATTAGACAAATTCACATGAGCCTTGTTTTTTTGAAAGCAATTATATTTTTAGTTCTCAAAAGTTGAGATAAATAATTTGTTATTTTTTAAATTAAAAAGTATTTATTTTAATTTCTAAGGTTTAATAAGATACAATTTAAGTTTTTAAATACTAATTTTAAAATATTAAAAATATAACAAAATATTTTAATCTTTCAAATTTATTATTTAACAATTAAAATTATATTTTTGAATTTTAAGGGATTCATTTTTTTAGAGGTTAAAAACTAAAAATTACTCTAAATTTTAGAAGAAAAAAAAACTTAATTAAATCTTATATATTTAAACAAAAATGAATAGGGTTTTCTTAATAACAAATGATTTCAGACCCATTTTAGAAACTTAAACCCCTTAACAAGATATTGCTAGTGTTGGGTTCACAGCTTCACGTGTCCTTGTTGCGGTGAGCGTCCTCCAAATGTTAGAAAGGTTAGGGTTTGAGATAAGAATGCGTAAGAAAATTAGTAATCGTTAATCACGCATCATACAATTTGTTAATCGTTCTCTATGCAAGAAATGCCACACAACACTTTCATCATTTACATCTTTTTGTGACCAATTGCTCTTACCGATTAACACGATCTCGGGGAGATGGGTTCGGGTTCGGCTTCCGGCAAGGCCCACCACTGGAACGTGTTCGACGGCGTTAAGATAATTGCAGCGACGCCGGAGGCGCTGATGGCGGAGATCGACTCCGCGATCTCGGCTCTGGAACACTCACGCGCCACCGCTCTGCTCGACGCCAACGAGGGATATGACGCGCGCGTGGCAGACGAGGCATACAAGGCGGGCTGCGCCGCCCTCGCTGCCGGCAAGCTGGACGAGGCGATTCGATCTCTGAACCTCTCTCTCGCGAAGTGCCCTCCCGACAAGGCCTCCGCGCTCGCAAAACTCAACTCGCTTATCGCTCTCGCCTCTCACCACCTTCAAGCCTCCTCCAAATGACGCCGCATCGTTTCGTTTCGTTGCGATTTGGTGTGAATCTTAAACTGTAAATAGTTTCGAATTGATCTTGGTTTTCTGTATCACTATTTTCTGAATATGATTGTGATCATTGATCCGTGATTTTTTTTACTCTTCTAAATTCAATTAACAGCAACATTTACAGGGAATGAATTTGATATTTTTATTTGAGATTGAATTCTACACCTTAATTCAGTATCAAATCCCCTACCTGACCAATGTGACTATATTCAAAACCTATTATGTGGTCAAAGAAACATAAAATTGTTTAAAATTAAATATTTTTAATTTTTTAAACAAAAAAATTAAAATTAATTAATCTGGTTCGATAATCAGTAACTTACCAAAATCAAACTATATTAAAATTAATGTATATATATATATATATATATATATATATATATATATTTTAACTAAAATATAAAATGATATTTCATGTAAGTAAATCGATTATTTTTTTATAATTTAAGATATATATTATTATTATTATTATTATTATTATTTAAACTAAATATGAAAATATATAGAAATAAATTAAAATTATAAATATAAAATTAATTATACATAATATTTTTATATTATGTTTTTTAAATAATTATTTTGTTCTAATACATTTAATAATTTTATAATAAAAAAACTATAAAAATATCTAGATTAAAATGTAAAATATTGGTATGATTTTTTTAAAATAAAAATCAAACCAAACCAAATCATATTTTAAATTTGTTTGATTTAAATGACTTTTTAAATATATAAAAAAATTAAAAATAAATAAACTTAATTAAATATAACAAATATTATGTTACTATAAAAAGAAAAAGTAACAAAATTATCAATAATAACAACTTTTTTTATAATTATAATTATGTATAATTTAGGGTATTGAGTGAATAGAAAGTGTACAAATATGTGGCAAAAATATTTGAAAACTAAGTTTTTATTATTATTACTTTTTTTTTTCTTGATTCTAAAATGAAAGAACAGGACGTAATTTTGACAGAAATATCACATATAGTAGTTCTTTAGTCTTTTTTTTTCTTTTAATATGTTAGACATGAATTCAACTAAAAATCAACATCAGTTATATTCACAATTAATATCAATTTATATAAAAAAAAGATATAAATGAGTTTTGAAAAAAAAATGTATGGATAAAAATGTTTGGTCAATTTATATAGAAAAAAAATAAAAAACATATATAGATGAGTTTTGAAAATTAAAAGAAACGTGCTTGTAAATTTTGGTCGGGACAAATTTATAAGTGACGATGTATAAGTTAATTGACGAGGATTAAGTTAATTTATAATTATTTAACTAATTTTTATATTTAAGATATTATTCCTAGGTAAAGTTTTCCTTCACCACGAATCTATCTGTCTACTGCTGAATCGAGTTAAACTACAATTAATATCGACTCTAAGATTCACCAGTGGAACAAAATATTCAACCAACTTAACCATTTTCACATGCCAAGTGCAGTCAAATTAATCTGATTCATGAATACTGCATGATGCAACTCATTTGGGAACCTCGTGATGACGAGTTTGTATTTTTTACTTTTATTGGTGATTGAAAAAGAAACCTCTTAGTTTAGATCCTGAAAATAATTAATAACATTTTACTTTTTCACTCTTTTTATGACTTCCATTTTTATTTTATTTTTTCTCGAACTTAATCTTCTGCACGTTCAACAGAATCCGCTTTGATGTCATGTCATTGGAGTCGATTTCAACTTTCAAAAGGATGCGATTGGGCCACTTAACACAAACCGTAGCGATTCTCTTGTCCATTTCTAGATTGTTTCTGCACCAAATAACTTCAATGGAGGATAACTATTTACCCATTAACACAAATTTATCAGATAATGTGTTGGGTGGCACGTTCTGTTAAGCATGACTTTGGCTTCAAGTGTGACTCTCAACAAGCACGGCGGATGTTATCGGTAACTGACAGTAATTTATTATTTTAGTTTTAAATATTTAATATATTTATATGTATATTTATAATTTTATTTTTTTAATTTTTTTTTAATTTTATAATTTTTATATAATTTATAATTTTATTTCTCTCAAATTTATTAATTATTTAATATATTAAAAAATATATTTATTATTTTTTTACTTTTTTTCATATTTTTTTTCTTTTTATATTTATTTATTATTTATTAATAATATATTAAAAGATCCGTAGCTGTGAACAAGCACCACCACTTAGATGCAGAGATAAAGATAAAAATAGAAGAAAGTTTTCAACAAGTCATTGTTTGGACTTCAAGTAATTAAGATTTTTGAGTTGATCTGGTTGAGCATTTTGTGGATTCAAGATGAAAACATTACTATGTAAAACCTTTTTTTTAACAAATTTTACAAAAAAGTGTTATTTTCTTTTTCCGATTAATTCCCAATTCATCTTTTTGTACTTTTAAAATTATCATGACTCCTCTATCACCTAAAAACCAAAATACATGTATCATAAAAGTTAGTTGCTTCTAGTATTTCTAGAAAGTAAAATCATTAATAATAGTATTAATATAAGTGAAACAAGTTTAATATTTCTTTAAATAATTATAAGAGTAAAGGATACTTTATTGTTTATATGAAAAAAATATTTCGAAACCTTGTAATATAAAAAAAAATCCACATTTCTTTCATTGTTGAAAAAAGTAAAAATTATTTTATTGTTATAGAAAATTTAAATGGGTAAACATATAAAAAATAGAATTTATAAGTAGTTAATTAAATTATAGAAGAGTCAAAAATATATAAATAATTTTTGTTCTTGAAATATCAAAATTTGTTTAGAGTGATGAGTGCCAAAAAAGGTATTTTAAATATAAAAAGTGTAATCTCTTTTCACATTTAAACAAGAGTATGTTTTTAATAATATTTATTTATTTTTGTTTTCTATTATAATAACAACAATAATTAAAAAAATTAAAATAATAAATAAAATTATTAATACTATATAAATTTATTTTATCTTCTATTTATTTTTATTTTTCAATTAATTCAATAATTTCACTTTTCACCTTTTTTTCTTCTTCTTTTCACTCTCATTGTCTATAGTCTAATCCAAACAAAGTATGTAACCCATTTTAACTTTCCTTTACCTTTAAAGAACGGAAAGCTTAGTGGGGGTTTCAGTACCAGGCCACTATCAATGAAGCATATCAATTTCAGTATCAACACACACAAAGTGTTTGTAATATATATCCTCTCATGTGAAAAGTTGATCAAGTAATTCCCACCATGGGTGGTGTCTTCTACCATGAGGAGCCACCAAACCACACCAAGAGATGCAGATTCCTTGCAGGGACTCTGAAAGAAGTATTTTCCCACTGTCAAACTTTTACTCGGAGGCTCTCAACTACAAGCCTTGAGGAGGAGTGTCCCATCATTAATGATGTTGATGAGGTACATGAAGTACCTTTATCAAACCCTTTCGAAAAGTTCTTCACTTTGATCAGTTAATTGTTCTTGAATGAGCGTTTAAAAAATTGATTTTGGATGAAAATTATTTTAATTAAAATTGATTTCCAAGTGTTATGATTTATGTATTTTAAAAGAATGTTAGAAATAAAGTTCATCATGATAATTTTTATCAGCAAATTTGTTTCAACTCAATCAAGTCTGAATCCAGAGTCAATTGTTCTGCATGAAACCAGACATGTGAACATTTGTATAAGATCACGTTAGCTGCTCTGATATTTCAACATGATTTTGGGTCGTCTAAAATGAAGCCAAACATGTTAATAAGGTGTACTCGATGTTGAACTATAGAGTAACCTCAGTTGTTATTGTTCTATTGTGTCCTGTTTTCTCAGGTTGTTGTTTCAGCGGTTAGAAGCCGAGTCATGGAGAAACAAAAGCACAAGCGAAGCCCATTGAGAGATGGCTTTTCTTGGACATATTCTCCTGCAACAAGGGAACTGTACGTGACAATGGCAGCACAACCAAGGGTGGTGATAGGTGATGGAGAATATGATGAAAGAGAAGAGTTTTTTTCCGTTAAAAGTTGTCTGTCATGTTGTTCTTCGAGTGTTGTGAGTGACCAAGCATTTTTTTCTGTGAAAACCAACCTGTCTCGATGTTCAAGCATGAGTAAGGTTGACATGTCAGAGTATTGGAGGCGTTCAATAATGCAAGAGTTTTGCCACTGCGAAGGATGGCCTTTTGGGCTGTGCCGTAAAGCTGTGTTACTTCCACCACTGCCTAAGTCACCGTCTGAGTCATGGTTGTCGCGAAAAATACAATTAAGTACCAAAATTATCTGAATTTATTTTACTTGCTCTGTCTCTTCCTGTTCCAATTATCTCTGTGAACTTGTATGAGATGTTGGTTGAAGATCATGGAATAATGGACATATAGCTCAAGCTTCATATCTTTAGTTTTAACATACATGAGAATTGAAATAAACAAACTCTTGCACAATTGCGTAACGTAACACTTGACTGCTTAGTCTGATCAATGACACGATCTTTGATTGCTAACTGCCTGAACTGACCAGATTTAGATGTGAACTATTCATTCATCCAATAAGATCAGTTGATTAAAAGAACATCCTTCTGTATTTGATTAAAAAAAAATATAACTTCAACATTTTTCTCTGATGTAGACAAAACTTATGAATGTATGACTTCTATCCGAGTTTATAGAGGGTCATCAATTATTGATTACTTGTAGTCCTTGGTGCTTGGTGTATATACCTGAAAAGTCCAGAGGTGTCGTTCATCTCATAACTAACAAAGGGAATCAATCTCCAATATCGTTACAATCTAAAACCATTCTCACCCCTCATTTTGCTTGGCTTGGCCATGGACGAGTTTTCTCCTATTGTCTAATACAAATGTTAGTAGTTATCTTTTTAGTCACTATTTGTGTTAGTAATTATCTTTTAGTCACTATTTGTACAAGTATCTTTGCAACTGATTTGTAAGTGACAGTTCGCTTAGCTTCTATTAGTTACATTATTTATATCATGTATATATATACCTTTGTTTTTCTCTCATAAGCAATAAAGTCTTTGTTAATATTTTCTCTCATCATGTTATCCCGATTGCTTTTCTTTATTATGGTATCGAAGCTCTTCTTTGAAGAGCTCTGCTTTGCTTCTTTCCCATCATGAGGGGAGACTCTGCTTTGCTTCTTTCCCATCATGAGGGGAGACGCTGATCAAATACTTAGTGTGCACAATTACCTTTATCTTCATCCAGGCAAAAAATCAGTTGTCGCTCTTGTTTCTTCTTTTCTCAACTCCACCAATTATCATTCATGGAATTGTTCAATGTTAACAACCCTAAGCATGAAGAATAAAGTTGAATTCCTCAACGGAATTGCACAACAAGCATCTATTTTTGATCCTTTGTACAATACTTGGCTTCAATGCAATAACATGGTAGTTTCTTGAACCGTTCATTTGGTTGTTGTTTCTATTTATCATAGCATCCTTTGAATGGACAAAACAAATATGGAATGATATGCAATCTTGTTATTCTCACGGATACCTCTTACGAATGTCTGATTTGCAATATGAAGCTTCTTCAATGAGACAAGGTGAACTTTTTGTAACTAATTTCTTTACTAAACTTCAAATTGTGTGGGATGAGTTAGAAAATTTTAAACACCTAGTGTATACTTGTTCTTTGAAGTGTTCGTGTCAAGTTTCATCCATTATTGTCCAACGAAAGTTTGGAAGAGCAACGCAGATTTACGAGGCTTAAATGATCAGTACAACAATATTTGTTCACATGTTCTACTCATGGATCTGTTACCCCTTATTTCCAAGATCTTTTCATATGTTTTACAATATATAATGTCTATCTCGTCCATCTTTGAACCTCAGTCATACGTTGAAGCTTCCAAGTTTGATTGTTGGAATCAATAATCTTGAAGGTAATCAAACCTGGATTCTCACTGATTTACATCCTCATAAAGTCGCAATCGTCGACCATTGGGTTTACAAAGTCAAACATAGTGTTGATGGTACCATAGAGCGTTACAAAGTCTGCTTAGTTGCTAAGGGATATATACAAATGGAAGGTCTTGATTTTCTTGACACATTTTCCCCTGTAGAAAAACTCACCATTGTCCGTTTTCTTCTAGCTTTGGCTTCCATTCATAAATGACATCTTAAACAACTAGACGTGAATAATGCTTTTTGGCATGGTGATATTCATGAAGAAGTGTATATGCAACGTCCACCTAGCTTGCATGTTCCTAAGTCTGGACAAGTGTGTCACTTGCAACGGTCCATTTATGGCCTTAAATAGGTCAATCGACAATGACATGCATACCTTTCTTTTTTTTTTTCTACTGTCCAAATGCTATCAACATTTTGCCTAAGATCATTCTCTTTTCCTCAAATTCTTTGTCTCTCACATCATGACTCTTCTTTTATATATTGATGATATTATTGTCTTAGCTGGTAATAATATTGTTGAAATTGATCATATCAAATCTTGTCTTGATATTACTTCCAAAATCAAGTATCTTAGATATCTCAAATTTTTTCTTGGTCTTGAAATTGCTTGTAATGCTTCCAAGATACATTTGTGTAAGAGGAAGTATATACTGGATCTCCTTTCTGACAATGGTATGCTTGTTTCTTGTCTTGTTTCAACTCCACTAGACTACCATAATCGTCTTCATTCCACTTCAGGAATTGTTCTCGTTGATCCAACACCCTATAGGTGCTTAATTGGTTGCCTTATATACTTAACCAATACTCCTCCTGATATAACCTACACGGTTTAACATTTTAGTTAGTTTGTTTCTTCTCCCACCATAGAACATCGTCAAACTACTTTTCATGTTCTTTATTATTTGAAAGGTACACCTGAGACTGAAATTTTTCTCGATGCAAACAATACTTTTCAATTAAAAGCTTTTAGTGATTCCGATTGAATTAGTTTTGATTCTCGCTGCTCTATTACTGATTTTTCCATATATCTTGGTTCTTTGTTAATTTCTTAGCGTTCTAAGAAATAATCCACAATTTCTTGAAGTTCTTCGATAGATATCACACCTTAGCCTCTACCAAATTCGAAATCCAATGATTGACAATTTTATTTGAAGATTTTTGTCTTCCTTTCATTCGATCAGTGTTATTATAATGCGACAACCAATCTACTGTACAAATTACCTTTAATTAGGTCTTTTATGAACGAACTAAACATATCAAAATTTGATTGTCACATTGTTCAAAATAAAATAAACAATTATCCAAGCTTATGCCAATGTCATCTTCTCCACGAATGTATATATATATATATATATATATATATATATATATATATATATATATATATATATATATATATATATATATATATATATATATATATATATATATATATATACCCAACTCTTTTTCAAAATATATGTAGCCACTTGAAAATGATTGATATCCATTTTGAGAAGACTCTGAACATGTATAAGTATTAATAGTTACCTTTTCAGTCAATGCAACTGATTCGTAACTGCCGCCAGTTTGCTTACTTAGCTTGTATTAATTACATAATGTACATCATGTATACCTTTGATTTTCTTTCATAAGCAATAAAACCTATGTTAATTTTTTCTATCATCCTTTTATCCCCATTGCTTTTATTTGTTAACAAATGCAGCACATTCATTAATAAATATGCATTTCAGTAAACTACCATAGCTGCTTCCATGTATATTCCTTTGTTATGAGAAGCTAAATTTTGTGTAATTCAATAAATTTTAATCTATATAATTAATTAACTTCTTTACTTGTCTTTTTCATATGGATAAGAAGAAAGATACAAGTCAGTAAAATTTCACTAACATTGTTATTTGTTAACTTGAGGAAAATGGAATTCAAAATGAAAGAAAAAGATGTTTAAGGATAATCCCAGTTAACGAAGTTAAGTGCTCTTATTTCTATGCTATCAAACTCTTGACAACTAAGGCCAGGAGAAAACAGATCGAAGGGTCTACAGGCATCAAAAGCATGATATGAAACACAAACAAACAATTACATGCCATGTTTCTTGAATACTTCTTCTAAGCTCTTTGCTCAACATATGAACCTGCAAGTCCAGAAGTTCCAAGAACCGTAACCTGCAACAGAAACCTCAGATTAGATAAGGGAATGGGAATTGGTCTGTAATTCTGTAGCAATGCTATTTACCATGGAATTATATGGAACAAAGATTACCAGGAATAGCTAAAAGTACTAACCAATCAAGGTGGGAAAGTGAAAAAAGCAATTTTGAAACACAAAAGACAATTGAATGATCACAACAAATTTCCTAACCCTTTTTCTCCTTTTTGAGTTATTTTCTGAAGGCATATCCATACTACTTACATTTTTCCTATCAATAACTATATAGGATAGACTACCAACTAAATATGCGAGGAATTTAAGAAAGAACGTGCAAAAAGTTAAATTGATATTCGAGCAAACAAGACACACAATAACATTTGACAACATATTTTCAAAGATTGAAAGAATTAAATTATGTTGCAACTTGCAAGTACACACAAAAATTGGAAATCAGAGTTTTTGATGATATCTGCCATGATGGTTTTGGGGATCCCTCATCATAAACTTCCGATGGTCTTAGCATCTTCAAATGGCAGTGCTGTGGTGTCAGCTAAAGGAAATGACAACATGAAAGTGGCAGATATTTTGTATGTCTCACATCATATTCCTCATTAAGTGAATAGATTGAGATTTTATGTGTAGGCCTTATGAATGAAAAGCAGAGAAGCAGTGCACATTCCATTGGCTACATTACACTAACTACTAGATGAATAGGCAATAACAAGGGAAAGTGTAAGATACCTTTCCCCACTCAGCACCAAGGCCACTGCATCTCATCTTTAAGTGAATCATGCTTGCGCCCAACTCTATCTCCACCTTCTTCCGCAGATAATTCTCATCGGGTCCAAAGGAATTCAAATAGGTGGAGTAGCGATCAAAAATGATACTCAGAGCATTTCTTATATGATTAGGCAATGGCTTTACATCCTAAAAAGAAAAAAAAAAATCCAATCATCAGCAGCCTAATGTGAAGGGTAAGTGGGAATAGAATGCAATAGTGCAGAGAGAAATACCTCGCCACTCACTCCAATGCTGTCATCAATTTCCAGTTTCAAGCTGACTAGAATCCCACCAAACTCCTCAACAGCTTCGGCTGCCCGGAACACATTCTCCACAACCTCCTTGCCAGCCTTGTCGTCAGTGTTTTGAGACAATGCCTTCTTAACATCATAAACAACAGAATCAGGAAGCTCCCTCCAATTTACAGCCAACAAATCCTTGAAAACATTGTAAAGCTCAGGGTCTTTAATATTGGGCATGTGAGTCACATCTTCGCTATAGAATCGCATGCTCCCTAAACCCATCGAGAAAGGAGACCTGCATTCTGTGCATGCTTTTCCATGCAAAACCAATTCAGCGCACAACAGTCGTTCTCAAGTACAGCACTCTAGCTCAATCAACAATGATTCTATTTGGATAAATATCTCAGCAACCAATTCAAAATAAATTAAACCTCTCTTGGTAGTTAAAACTAATTTATGCATAATCTAATTTATAGAAACATTCTGATTCAGCTTCTCCAAAAGTTGATTTTACCTTATGCAAAGCTAATTTTAACTAACAAGAGAAACTTAGTTCTTCTTATTTCTTTTCCAACACGAAGAAATTCACCCAAACAAAGCTAAAAAAGCCTTCAAAACACGTCATAAGTGAACCAGATACAACATTTTTTTTTTCTTTGATTAAGTTGTGATCTGAACAACCAATTTCATTATGAAAGAGAACGGTTGCACTAACAACAAAAAAATCATTGTCAACTTTTTAACCAGAATACAAAGTCTATATACTATGACAACGGAATGATTCAATTGTGGAGTTAGTTACCAATCGAAAATAACGAAGACATGTTATTCCGGTCAGATAAACGGAAAACGAACACTATTACACTAGCTTATTGTTCGATAAGCGTCATATAGCAGTACAATGAAATTGAAATTCAATCAGATTAATTTAGTTTAAATTTATTTTGATAAAACAAATGAAATTCGATCTAGTTATGAGGGAAAAAGTGCGAACGACGTCGGATTAGGGATAAAAGCGATGCGGAAATGAAAACCTAACGGAATAGAAATGAGGAAACGGTGGGAGAGAGAAAGTACCTGAGGAAGAGGGAGAAGAAAGCGGAATAGGAGCAGGAGAGAGAAGAGAGGTTGAACGAAGGATATGGTTGGTGGCTGAAAAAACGTGATAAGATCTGCCATTCAGTGATCGGAACAGTGATCTGAGTCGCATCATTTTCTCCATCTTTCTTCAATTCACAGTTCAAAGCCTGCAGTAGGGAAACGGGAAAACTCCAAAGATGCTCGCGACCTACCCACTAAACAGTTCTGCACCTTTTTTCCTTTTGCGCCGCTATATTTTACGTCAGTGAAAAAAAAGAATATATTTGATCGGTTAATTTGAAACTATATAAGACACTGTTAAAGAGGAAATGCTAGATTGGCACCTTCCGCCCTATTAACAACTACTATTTTTATTAATTTTATAATAATAAAAAACTATATTTTCATCCTTCTTATTATTATTATTATTATTATTATTATTATTATTATTATTAAAATAAATTATTATTTAAATATTTAAAATGAACAGTATCAATATATTACTTCTCTATAATTTAATAAAAATATGTATGGAAAATTCTAGAGATTGGGTTTCATGGAATGAAATTCATTGAAAATTATTAGACACCAAACTCATTGTTTTAATAATAAATTTATTTTTTATTTTTATCGTTTTTTATATATAATATTAAGAAACGTTTTTTTTAAGTAAATCTTTCTCATATATATATATATATATATATATATATATATATATATATATATATAAAAATATAATTAAATTATAATATATAAATAAAATATTAAATTAATTTTATATTATTAAGTTAGATTTAAATTTACTATTAATTAAATTATGATAAATAAGTACATAAAAAAATCATCTTATAAATTATTTTTATGAAATTATTTTATTATATAAAAGACAAAAATAAGTTATGTTGTCTTCGTCCTACTATTCTTATTGAAAATATATGTATCATTGTAAGGAATTATAAAAGGAAGTATTTATAATTTATTTATTATATAAAAATAATTATTATTTTAAATTATTATATTATTAAAAAAAGAATTGATAATAATAAAGATATGTCTTTAATTTTTATTTTAGAACTAAATAAAACTTATTTTTTATAATTTATATATTAAATTATTATATATAAAATAAAAAATAGTTTTATTAATATAAGATAAATTTTAAAAATACTTTTTATTTTTTATTTTTTATTTTTATTTAAAAATATTTTTTAATTTTTTTAATTAATAATCTTTATAAATTGGTTATTAGTTTTTTTTTTCTTAATTTTCATTCAAGTCAAATATAGAATCTAAGATAAACAATTATGGTACATTTTAAAATATAAGATAGATTGAACCATCAATTTTGTTTTATTTTGTCCATAGGCCATATTAGGTTGGCAAGATCACTTATTTTGGCATTACTAATAAAAATAGTTGAAAAAAATTAGAGGTGACAAAACAGGTCAAATTGTCTTGTTTTTACCTGTCTCATTTCTCATATCCTGAAAATAGAGTTTGATGAATTAGTCCATCATAATTAAGACAGAATACAAACTCTAACTCGTCTACTAAAGAGTGAGTTGATGTTTTTTTTCATGCACCTCCATACTTTCTTCTTGCACCTTCATATTCTTCTTTAATGTAAATAAGTTCATTCATTTTATTAGAATGAGCTTTCTAAAAATATTCCAAATTAACATTTTGGGAAGCTTTACAAAAACTTCTAGAATCATCAAATTTTCATAAATATTTTGGAATATTGATCTGATGTTGGTCACCCCATCAATTGATGTTGATCAATCATATGTTACCCTAATCAATAATAACTTATAACCTAGAAAAAAATTTCAAGTGAATATTCTCATAAAAAAGTTGATAGGAGACTTATTATATTTGTGTACTAAGTTAATATCGTGTACGTAAAAATACACTTAAGTACCAATATTCAATATTATGTTGGCAAAATTTGGGTCATGTATATATATGATACATAATTTAAATGTGTTAGAGTCATTATTTATTAAGCCAAATAATAAAGTGATCTGACTAAATTAAAGTTTTGGCTAAAGACATATGTCATGAAAATAAAATTGTGTAGAGACCATTGAACAATTTCTAATTTGATGAAGGGCCAAATTGGAAATACTAAAACTTAAGTAATTAACCTAATTCTGGTTATTTTAAGGGGTCATGGTCCCCTTCTGGGAGCACACACACAGAACGTAAGTATCAATCCCGTTCCTTTCTTTCTATCCCCATCAAGAGAGAAAATTAATAGGGAAATACAGGTGCTCTTCAGGTGGAAGACCATAAGATCAATATAGTGCTCTACAAAGACATCATCATTATGACTAATTCAGGTACACTTTCGTATTCGAGCTTACAGACATGTTTATCGAGTATGAGATTATGTTTATATTTGATCGTTAGAATCAAAATCAGGATTATTATTATTATTATTATTATTATTATTAGTTTTCCAACATATTATACTATTAAATCATAGTTTATAGATGAGTATTATAAATTGTAGGAAAAGGTTTGTTACTTAGGATTATACTTGAGTTACTCCTAAGAATACCTAATTCAACACCAACTTGAAAAAAGTCATGCTATTGATATGAAAAAAAAATTATTCAATGATTTTATGGTTAGTAACTATTGTGTAATTTTGCATCCACTTTTATATTAATCAATGAATTTAATTTATGTAAGTGTAGAACAATATCATTTTACATCCACTTATGTTCTTTTAAGTTTGGAATCTAACATGTATGGATTAATATTGCAATTTTTTTATCTAAGGCAGGAAAAAAGGCAAAAGAAAGGATACATTTATATAATATTCAAAACTTAAAAGATATGGGATCAAGAAGCATAAGGACTAAGATGCTAGATGAATTAGTATACATATGGACGATAGAAGCATCGAAAAAGAAATCTATTGGAAGTAAAACCAATTGGATTGCCAAGTCTAAAGTCATGGTGCACCTAGGAGAGTTAAGCAGTTTTGGGAAACACTTGAAAAAATATGATATTTCCACTACAAGAAAAAAGCATTTTAGCAACCGAAAAAATCGGTCGTAATGTAAAAAAATCGATCGCTAATCAGTTAGCGATCGAAATTAGCGACCGAAATGCGTCGTCACAAAAAATCAAGTCGCTAATGTGTTAGTGACTGATTTTTATTTCGATTGCAAAATAGCGACCGATTTTATTTCGGTCGCAAAATAGCGATCGAAATTAATATATTAAATTGGTCACTAAATCGGTGACAAAGTTAAAAAAATAGCGATATATATATTTATATAATGATATATTTATATATTTATTTATATCCTTATACATTTATATCTTTATATATTTGAAAAAAAATATTAAATATTAAATTTTAAAAATAATATTATATTTAAAAAAATAAATATTAGAAAAAGATTTGAAAATATATATAAATTATATTTATATGTACAAAATATTAAAGATATATATTTATATATTTACATATTTATATCTTTATATCTTTATATTTTATATCTTTACATATATTTATATCTTTATATATTTACATTTATTTATATATATATATATATATATATATATATATATATATATATATATATATATATATATATATTTATAAAATCTATAAATAAAAATATATTTGTATATTTTAATATATATTTAAATATTGATTTATTGATATATTTACATATTTATATATTTATATATTTACATATTTATATATTTATATATTTACATATTTATATATTTATATATTAATATATTAATAATTAATATATTTATATATTTATTTATATCTTTATATATTTATATATTTATATCTTTATATCTTTATATATTTATATATATATATATATATATATATATATTTATATTTATATCTTTATATATTTATAAAATCTATAGATACAAATATATTTATATATTTTAATATATATTTAAATATTGATATATTTATATATTGATATATTCATATTTATATATTTATATATTTATATATATTTATATATTTATATATTTATATATTTATATATTTATATATTTATATATTTATATATTTATATATTTATATATTTATATATTTATATATTTATATATTTATATATTTATATATTTATATATTTATATATTTATATATTTATATATTTATATATTTATATATTTATATTTTATATATTTATATATTTATATATTTATATATTTATATATTTATATTTTAATATACCATTATATTATTTTCATTGTATATAAATTACAAAACTAATAATTTTAAAAAAATTTAATGATAATTTTTTAACTTATATATTACAAAATATTTTTTAATACTTTAATAAATATAACTTTTTTAAAATATTTTTATTAATTTAAAGTATAACTTTTAATATTTTTTAGTATTTTTTTAAATGTAGATATCTTTAATATTTTGGACATATAAATATAATTTATACATGCTTTTAAATCTTTTTCTAATATTTGTTTTTAAAAATATAACATCATTTTTAAAATTTTATACATTTATTTCCAATCTATAATTTGAGTTTTTAAAAATGTTTATTTCGAATCTATAATTTGACGAAATCATATAGAAGTGTATTATATGTTATATTATAGAAATGAAATTAAGTTATACTTTGGAGAATATATATATATATATATATATATATATATATATATATATTAAAATATAATTTATTTTTAAGTTGATAATTTTTATTTTTATATATGTAAATTTTATATATAAAATTAATTTAGAGTTCATATATGTAATTTTAATTTATGTAATATATATATATATATAATTTATATAATATATATAATTTATTTAACATTAAAAATAGTTATATTTTTATTAATTTTATAATTATAATTTTTTTAAGGTTATAATTTTAAATATAATTTTTTTAACTTTATATTTATAATTTATATAATATATATAATTTAAAAATAATTATTTTTTTAATTTTAAGTTGATATATTTTTTTAATAATTATTTAATATATATTTAAAAAACTAATTGATGATTTAAAAATTAATCAATTATTTAAAAAAATAACTGATTCTCATCAAGTATGAAAAAATGAAGTATGAAAAAACTAATAGATTACTTTTTGAAATAATCGATTAGTTTTTTAAATAGTT